CACTTCTGTCTCATCTCCAAAAAAGCCCAGTAAATCAATATTATACAAATTCAAAATAAACTTCGTAAAAAGGTATCTACCCGGCGCATATAAATTCATTGATTCCATGCATTTCCATTTAAGCACACGCGCGCACACACTCGCGCACACACACATACACACACACACATACACACACACACACACATACGCATTTTAAATGAGAAAACGCAGCATGATGTATGTTCAATAAAAGCTTTGTGTGAAACCACGTTGAAAATGTATTTTTTATCAATGCCCCCCAAACTCAACTTCTACTACTTGACAAAATTAAAAAAATATGACAAACAATCGTAATTAAATCTTTAAAAAATGTAGAAATAATAACAACGATAAACAACAACACAAAAACAACGACAAAAAACCAATTGCAGGTACCCGAAATGTTGGGACACGCCCTTGAAAGAGGTCATGGGGTCATCGTTCACCTTGACCTCTGACCACTGCCATCATTCCTCCACCATCAAAGATGTCCTGGCCCATCGTATGGCTCTCAAATCGTACTCCATACTCCTGCTTATGGGCACCGGGCTCGACAAACCTACTCTGGAGTTTTGCAGGTGTTTGGCTGTTGTTGTTGTCGTTGTTGCTGTTGTTGTTATTTTTGTTGTTGTTGCTGCTGCTGTTGTTGTTGCTGTTGTTGTTTTTTTGTTGTTGTTTCTGCTGATGTTGTTGTTGTTTGTTATGTTTCAATTGTTGGCGGATGTTTTCTTGTTGTTTTTCTAATTTTTTATGTAACATGATAATAATAATAATAATTATTATTATTATTATTATAGGCTATAATATAAATATCTTAAATGAGCCTTCTAGCTAATTGGACATGTGAGATTGCTAGAATCAGGTGACTTACAATTATTATCGTACGATGGCTTATGCGAGATAAAATAATATTGAAAATAATAATAAACTATAATAAATTCATAATAAATTGGTAATAAAAATAATAAAATCGACCTCATCTAGGCGCATGAGTTTGTTAGAATCAGATGGCGACTACAGAGTTACATACTCGTACAGCAACATGATGTATGTCTTGGCCGGATGCATTGCTGAAATCATGGGGCAGGATTCATTTTCGAATTTGTTGAGAGTTAGTCTGTTGTTGTTGCTGTAGTTGTTGTTGCTGCTGTTGTTGTTGCTACTACTGATACTACTATTATTACTTCTAATACTGCTGTCATAAATCATTCGTTCGTTCGTTCGTTCAATCATTCGTTCGTTCGTTCGTTCATTCGTTCATTCATTCATTCGTTTGTTCATTCATCCAATCAGAAAAAGTTACTAGAGCCATTAGAGATGAACGACACGTTGGTATTCGAAGACTCGATGTTAAATGGCTGGGCTGATGTATCTGAATCATTTTATCTGGAATCCGGACAACTGAAAATAATGCACACGGATATGCTGAGGTTGGTGATGAAAAAGTGAATGAATGAATGAATGAACGAACGAACGAACGAACGAACGAACGAACGAACGAACGAATAAATTATAAATTCATAATTTTTATTAGTATGATGATTGAAATAATTTATTTAGGTCTATAGAGAAGTTCCCTTCGGCTGGAGGCATCCTATCAACAGCGCTGGACATGACGAAATGGATCAAGTTTCACTTCAACTTTGTTAGCGAGAACATCCTATCTTTCGTCATTTTTCATGATTCAGCGCGTACAACGTGTCTATTCTTTTCTTGTATAATTTATTGACATTTTTATTTTCACTAATCAGGGAAAACTGGAAGACGGGCGTCAGTTGGTGGATCCAAATATTTGGAGTGAGATGCACAAGAGTCACATGCCCATATCCATCTATCCGGTCATTCACGAGTTCGAATCCTACCCCGTCCACTACAGCACTGGATTCTATGAACTTGGTTGGATGACCAGTCGTTACAGAGGTGTTTTTCATTTCATTCTGTTTTCTAGTTTTTAAATGTCTCAAAGAGTACAGCCGTTTTTTTTCCATAATAACCTCCTCCAGTTTACATACTCACTTATCTAAAAATGTTTTACTAGAATTTTAAATAAAAATTTATCGATTTATCTCAACAAATTGATGAATTTGGATCACCTATAATCCTAATTCAACCGTCAAGACCAAAAAGCCTCAGTGCACGGAGGTCGAATATCCGGGTTCGATTCCTTCGTCAGCGTGTACCCGAGCAAGCAGTTCGGCGTGTTCACAACGACCAACGGGCAGGCCTACAACAACTTCGACTTCCAAAAAGCTGCTCATTTGGCTTTGTACGACCTTTTCAATGGCAACGACGTTTGGCTTAACAACTCAATAATGGCAAAGTTTGATCAAAGTTTCAGAAGTTCCCCATCTAACAAATCGAATCACAACGAAAATAAAACGAAACCGAATTTAACGGTGCGCATTGATTCGAGATTTTACGTCGGTATTTACGGTCATCAACTATTCGGTAATTTGACTGTCCATGCCAAGCGGCACAGACGCTGTAAGTTCTTTAAAATTTACTTAAAACTTTTTATTTTTTATTTATCAAGCGGGTTTTTATAAAAAAATCTATTTGAATACGTAAAAATTTCACGCAGCGCATCGAAATCTTCGGAGCCACAGAAGCCACGCCTCCGACGATTTATACTTCAAATATGGATTAGTAGGCAAAGGAAAATTATCATTCGCATCAAATGACACCTGCACAATTCATTATTTGGACCATCTCGATCACTTCAACCACCTCGAGTCCGCCTACTACTACAGATTCAAGTTCCATTTCAACGATTTCGACAGCAGAAGAGGCAAATACAACAGCTTAACGCTGGTCGGCATGTCAGAGAAAGTCGTTACGACATTTCGACGAGGTGTCACTTGGCACCCGTTCGTAGATGTCAATGAAAATCACCAGAGCTACTCCTCAAAACTAGTTTGCAAGTTCAATGTCCTGCTAGCTCTGGCGGTCATCGAGCGATTAATTAGCAGGCTAACTGCCTGTTGACGACCCTAATTATGTAAATTTTATCCTAATCAATCCCCTAAATCAGACCTTGAATGGACTAATTCCATAATTGAAATATTGTTATTTATGTACATTTTGTTTTTTAAACCATTTCTTAAGGACGAACCAAATTTTAATTTTATTTTTTATTGGAAAGAAACGAACAGATCAAACCGGAAACAATTTAAAATTAAATTAAAAAATGTTGGCTACCGCAAATTTGAACATGAAAAAATCAATAAATAATGAAGAATTGTCAAATTTTATAAATTTAGTACAAAACTAATAAATCAAAATTTGAAAAACAAGAAACAAGTAGGACGATGAAATGAAAACGAACAAAGTTAATGAAATAAACTTTATAATTAAAGTTAACTGTAACCAATTGATTAATGATCAATCAATTGTGCGTTCAGACAACAACTAATGATATATTTACAGCAAAAAACATTTACATCGCATTACACATGTTAGCACTAAGCATGCAAGCATCAAATTTTTAGCGTTTCAAATCCATTACAAGTTCATTAGAAAACCGAGAATTGAAATATAGTGCTTAGATTTGCTCTTTGTTACTTGATACTTCAATTACACGCGCGAGAGCAATTACGAAAAAGAAAGATATAAACATACACGAAGAGAAAAGTAGAGAAGAAAGAGAGGAAAAGAAAACACAGTTTTCTTTCCTTCTTTTTCTTTCTCTCTCTCTCTCACACACACACACACACCACACACACACACACCACACACACACAGAGAGAGACAATTCAACACGAGCACCTGCGACATGAGTAACCAAGATTGCGGCACTTCTCACAGAGATTCTGTTGATGAAGTTGGTGAGAGGACTTGTAGCTGCCTGTCGAACTGTTCAAATCCACATCCGCCGTCAGCGTAGCTTTTGTAGCTGCTTCCATTACTACTGGTTGACATTTTTCTAAGGGGCGCTGCGTGGTTCATGAAAAGGGGTGGGGGTCTATATGTCAGCTGAATAAAGGGGTTAAACAACGTAAAACGTGTGAGTTTTTATAAGAATCGAAATTAAAACTTTGAAATTTTGAACATGTTAAACAGAATACAAAAAATAAAAAAAAACCCAAAAGATGAATTTAAAAACAAAATAGAACAAAAAATTGTTCAAAATTAAAATGTTAACGCATCATATAGAAACTTCATGAAGTAAGAACATCAGCTCACTTGTTTATGGGGGTAGACATTAATCTTGCACTTGATGCAATCCTGCCCGATGTTTGCCCAACTGTTGCCAGACACCCACTTTCTTTTGCACTTTGGGCACTTAAACTCCCCGAAGCATCTTTTCTTGCCCTGGTACGGAGTCAAGCCCTCATCTCTGGGCCTCGCCTGCAGTTACAAAAAAAATCACGTATTAAATTAGAAAATTGCGGCGCAGATGAATTATAAAAAAACGGAATCCACATTTTTCAAAACAAAACTTGATAATTTAGAAAGCGAAAGCGCTAACTTGAGGGCAGTTTTGAATGAAATGTCCCTTCTGAAAGCATAAGTGGCAAAGGTAGGACGAAGGCACCTTAGAACTGCTGGTTCTTATCATCTTCATTAGGTTCAGTTGCACTACCAGAGCTTCTTCTATCTTCTCCAGCGTCACATCCCTGCTGTACGTGTCCGTTATCATCATGCCTTTCAGAGCTCTAGCCACCAGGTCCTTTTTGCATGCCAACGGCGACGACGACTACGAAAAATATTCGAATGAAAGGTTGAAAAAAAAATGATTGATATTTTATTTCAAGGATTACATCAAACTTGGTGAACATGTTTTGCAAAAGAAATAACTAATAAAACGCGATAAAATGGTTTAAAATTGATAACTCAACTAATTTACTGAACCCACATTATCGTTGGCAATAATATCGGGACTGAATACTTTTGGAGACGGATACGCTGACGAGTGAGAGCAAAAACTCTTGTCATCTTCACTCTTCATTGTCATGTTTAGCGAAACTTCTTCAACCATTTGTAACTTTTAGGACTTTTCAAGCAACTAATCAACGAATAACTAACTCTAAAACGATTTTTAATAAATTAGAAATGAATAATAGGCAGGATGGTGTTGATATTTGAGTATCTGTCGATGTTTCGCAAGCAATTTAAGATTATTCAAATAATTTCGGATAATTTGCAGCGTGAAAACAAGCAGACAGTTCGACAGTTTGACGAGAAATGAAATTTTGAATTGAATTTGTTAAAAAAGTTTGAACTGGCGCCAATTTTGCGTTTCTTTGATGTGGCCGGCATACTCTTTCAACTTTCAAATCTTAACAAATCAATAACTCGCCGACCTAACTACAAAGTAATATTCTTGGCGCGTTTTCTGTAAGCGTCTTTCGAAAGAGATCGAGATTGACTGAAGAAACGAATGAATGAATGAAAGATAGACGGAACAAATGAATGAGCAGAGGAATTAACGGGTGGATGGCTACAGGATGAAAGAAAGAAAGGAAGAACGAACGAAAGAAAGAGTTAATTACTGAATGGTTTGATAAATGAGATTGATCGAAAGAATGATCGAATGAATGTAAAATCGAACAATAAATGAATGAATAAAAAAAATGAATGAATAAATGAAAAAAGAACAAACAAATCAGTTAGTTGCCAAATAACAAAATCGATGTTATTATTCTCATTAATTGTATTATTCTTATTGTTACTGACGTGGTTTTTATTAAAACTGATTTTTAAATTAAATTAATTTTTAATCGAATTATCGTTAAAATAATATTTTGGCCTGTCGGCTTTTGTCTTTGAAGATTTTCGCGGCAACATTCATCCTTCAACTGAATTCTTTCAATCAATCATATCGCAAAAACTACTACAGAATAGACTGGGACATATCCAATCAATCACTCATTGATCAATCAATCAACCATTCAATTAACTAACCATCCAATCAAACATTCATTCAATCAATCAATCAACTAATCAACAAACCCATCGACTAATCATTTAATCAATCAACTAACCAATGAACCAATTTGAATGAACCAACTGAATGAACTAGACGTACGAACCAATATTGGCAATTAATCAATCAATGATTCAATGAATGAATAAAATCAATCAATGGATCAATTAATGGAGAAATAATTTGGAAGATTGAGTGGGAAAATGAATGAATGATTGAGAAAAATACAAAACGAAACTGAACCTTACTTCAAAAATCGTCGTTACTGTAATCCATTGCACCGACCACCACTATCAGGTCGGCACACAAGATGTCATCCGAACTAACCCTTAACCCAACCCAAACAGCCAACGAGCTGATTCTTCCTACACCACCATCATCATATGTAATATAAAGCGTTTGTGTGAGTGTCTGCCTTGAATAATGCATCTTAGAAGTAAAAAATCATAAAATGTCAATTGCCCTAGATTAAATAGAATTACAAAACTCGAAGAGCCCAATTCATTCGCCATTCGGCACCCACCCTCACCTGCTTAATGCCTCAGGCTCCAACTTAATAATAATAATGTAAATCTTAACAATTAATCTATAGATAGATTAATCTATCTATAGATTGGTAGGCTTGCGATGTTTAATTCACATTACAAGATTGTTCCTGAAGGAACATTATCGCCCTAAAACTACATATGAAACTTAGTCACTCTCAACTTTAGTAATTAATAAATTAAAACGATGTGTAATGGAAATAAACTTACGCTCACTATAATGTAATGCATGCATGTCTGTGGGTTGTGACGTGCCCACAAATTGGTACGGTATTTGAAGGGACCCCTTTCTTCTCCCTCAATAAATAATAAAACTCAGTAGAAGACACGTGTAACATTTATTCATATTTTTTTTTAATAAAAAACTTTATAAACTTGCAATACTATATATATTTATATATATATATATATATATATAGATTTATATATATATATAACTTTATATATATATATATAACTTTATATATATATACATATATATATAACTTTATAAACTTGCAATACTATATGTATATATATATATATATATTATATAACTCTTCATATAAATATATTAAACAATACTGAATAGTAATAAGTGTCGTAATATCAAAAGTGATAGTACATATGCATACACATAGACAAATACCCACACACACACATAAACAAATACACACACACACATACATAAACACATACATACATACATACATACACACACACTCACATACACGTACACGTACATACACACATACAGATGCACGTGTGAATATTATCATCATGATTTAAATTACAATAGAGATAAAACTATGCCTTATCGAGCACTTTGTTGCTTAATGCATTTTTATTGCAAGATATTAAAATGAGACTGCCATAATTGCTACCACTACTACTACTATTACTGCTGCTGCTGCTACTACTACTACTACTACTACTACTACTACTACTACTACAGCAACAGTAGTCGTAGCAGTAGTAGTAATAGTCGTAGAAGCAGCAGCAGTATTAGTAGTAGTAGCTAAAAACAATTATCAACAAAATAATTGCACTTGGAAATATATGAAATGTAAAAATTTTTAAAAGAAAAAAAAACTTTAAAACTATATATGCACGGGTGTGTTGGTGCGTGTGTGTGTGGTGTGTATTTTGGACATCTGACTGAAATATGGACATAGAATTTTATGAGCAGAAGACCCAAACAAATATCTGCAATGGAGTAAGTATAAAAATGAAGAGAAGGAAAAAATGAATGAATGAATAAATCTGTGATTGAATAAAGGAATCTTTGAATGAATGAATGAATAAATGAATGAATGAATGAATGAATAAATAAATAAATAAATAAACTAATACTGATCAAAACACGCGCAAAAAATGCATTTTGGGTTCGAAAAAATTTTAAAAAAAACAACCATACGGCTCACCATCATCATCATCACACTCACTCATCTTCACCATCATCATCAAAATCATCTTCACCATCATCATCAAAATCATCTTCACCATCATCATCAAAATCATCTTCATCGTCGTCTTCCTCATCACAATTGTTATCACAAAAAAGTGTTAAGGGCACTTGTAATGTTGGCATTAGTTGCGAATAAATCAAACCTTCTTTTAATGAAATAAAATTGCACATACATACATTAAACAAAAACATATTAACAGTACCAACACACACATATTAACAGTACCAACACACACACACACACACACACACACACACACACACACACACACACACACACACAAACATACACACACATACAATACATCATTAGGAATGACGAATATTGAGGAATGAATAGTCATAGATGTGCATTCTATCTGTAGTATTATGGTACCTGGTGTTTTAAGCATCGTGTATACGCTTCAGTGTATTTGTATTGTAGCGAGGTATTCTGTCATGTAAACTTATTTAGGTAATATCGGCTAACCAATTAACACTTCATTAACATAATTTGCATATCATTAACATAATTTGCATACCATTAACATAATTCGCGTGCAATTTGCATATCTTGGGGCATATCTTGAATAATCACTGGCAGACAAAAAATTGAACTATGATAATAACACTACAAGTTGTAGTAGTAGTAGTAGTAGTTGTTGTAGTAGAAGTAGTAGAAGTAGTAGTAGTAGGAATAATAATAATAATAACATTACATAATTTTATTTAAAAATATTTTTTCAAAAAAAGAAAAAAGACAACAAATCATTAAATTAATATATACAGGACTAATTATTTGGTAATTAAGTAAAATAATAAGAATAATAATAATAAAATAACAACAACAACAAAGACAGCGGTTATTAATTAATTAATTAATAATAATAATAATAAATATTAATAATAATCATAAAAATCCTATATATTCATCGGTGTTGCCAAAATCTTTAGCGAAGAAATCAAAGATGTTACAATCGTTGTTAATGTCATTCGTGAAGTCATGCAACGACGATGTTGTTGTTGTTGTTGCTGACGTCATAAATTCTTGCGGTAAGTCGTAGAAGTTGTTGCTGTTATTGATGGCGTCATTTGGTAAGTTGCTGCTGCTGCTTTTAAAGAAGTTATCATTATTCGTTGAGTCATTGTAAAATATGAAGTTGTTGTTGTTGATGTTGTGGTTGATGTTGGTCTTGTTTTTGTTGTTTAATTCTAAAGATGTATCACTAAGGTAGATGTTGTTGTTAGCTAATGTCGTGAAGTATTTTGAGTCGTAATATTGTGAGTTGTTGTTGCTGTTAATGTTATTAATGTTGTTGTTGTTGCTGTTCTCGAAATAATTTAAAGATTCCTCTAGAACATGACTATCGAAATCGTAAAAGTCTAACTCTTTTTCCATTTTGATGTTATAACTGTTGTTGTTGTTGTTGCTGTTGCTTATATCAACAATTGAAAAATCGTTCATATTTACAAGCGCTATGACATCATTATTAACATAATTTTTATGATCAATGACATCATTTTCATCATCAATGTTATTATTATTATTAATGTTATTATTATTGTTGTTGATGTTGTTGTTGTTGATGTAATCGGCTATAGACTTTGCTGTGTTGCATGTTTCTGATGGTGATGAAGACGATGAGGATGATGATGATGATGACGATGTCTTTGAGTTATGCAACTTCAGTTCCTGAAAAATTTTAAATCGTAATTCTGTTAATAATTATAAGGACCATCTATGCAGAAGACAATAATTTATGTACATGATATTAAGATCTACGTAAATTACGTCACAATTTATGCAAATTTATGCTACCTGAACTTCCATCTTTAGCTGCTTATTAGTTTCTTGAAGGAGTTGAAATTCCGCTTGCATGGCGAAATATTCTTGCTGGTCGCTTTGAAGCAATCGAATGTACTCGATAGACGTCTGCAAGATGGACCCCTTCTTGTTCAGCACATCCCTGTTTTGTGGTCAGGTGATTCATGGGTGAGGGTGACAATTAGGAGTTGGGAAATTAAAGATTTTTTCATGTGTTGTGCGTGTGTATGTATGTGCGCGCGCGCGGGCGTATTTGTTTGCATCATCATCTTCACCATCATCATCGCGATTATCATCATCATCATCATCACCATCTTACATGTCGTATACAGGTGGGAGGAGCCTTCCAATCTCAGCTATGCAATCATTTATTTTGTACCTTCGGCGTTTCTCGACTGGTAAGAAAGTAATTATGGCGAGAAATAATAATTATTTGTACAATAATTATAAGTGGGAGGAATAAAAATAACAGCCAACTGAACTCACTGATGTTATGATTATCCTTTTTCATTCTATCTTTCTCCCACTTTTTCATGCCCTCAGCGTCCAAGCAGGGCGGGGGTGGTTCCTTCCTGCGCCCCCCTCTGTACGGGGTACTTTCGAACCCCCCTGCGGACAGTAGGGTCGACTTAACAGGGTAATAACCCTCTTTATGCGACGTGGCTCTTGATCTGGCTTTAAATGTAGACTTGTGATTGGATGAGGAAGAGGAAGATGATGATGATGGAGATATCGATGAGCATGATGATGATGATGAGAATGGTGACGTTTTCATTGGTTGTAATAGGGGCGGGGAAAGGTTGTTGTTGTTGTTAGTGAAGAAGTTAGGTGGTAGTGATGATGATGAAGACAATGATGATGGAGATAACGATGATGATGGTGATAAGAGAGTTATGGCGATGCTGCTGTTGTTGTTGCTGTTGTTGTTGTTGTGGCTACTCGTTTGCTCCATTTCAAAATCCTCCAACGCTGAATCATTCAATTCTTCTGGCTACAAGTTTTAAATTTATAAACGATTTTAGACGAAAAATTAGAAAGACAATGCAAAATTACACAAACGAAGTGCAAGGAAAGACAAATTTAATACCAAATGATATCCAAAAATACAAGAAATGATACAAAAATGATACAAAACAATGTAAAAGCAATAGAAAATGATACAAACAGATACAGAAAAGACACAGAACAATACAAAAAAAATACAAAATTGTATAAAATGATACAAAACGATACGAAACTAATACAAACGATGCCGCAAAAACACAAATACAAAAAAAAAGATTAGAGAAAAATAAAAATACAAAGATGATAGAAAACAAATGCGGACAAATACCTCAGAAGTCGTTGGGCTGATGCTTCTTGTATAAACAGAACTTGGGCTGCTTATATTATTTATATTATTGTTATTATTATTATTATTGTTATTGTTGTTGTTAGTAGTAGTATTCTTTTTATTTCTTTGTATGGTGTTGTTGTTGTTGTTGTTGAAGATGTGAGCGGCCAGTCTGTCGACGCTAACCAAACTGTCTCTACCAAATCTCTGATTCAATAAATTACTTTTGACGTTGTTGTTGTTGATGTTGTTGTTGCTGATGTTGTTGTTGATGTTGATGACGTAGTTGTTGTTGTTGGGATCTTTTTTAAATTTTGCCGAGCTTTCAAACAAAACCATCTAAGAAAAATAAAACATGCACACATGAAAGACTGAACGGATGAACAAACGGGTGAACAAACGGATGAACAAATGAATGAACGAACGAATGAATAGATGGATGAATGGATAAATGAATGAACATACGCATGAAAAAAAAAAGGTGAACAAACCACTTTACTGGAATCGCTAATATTATTAATATTTTTGTTATTATTATTAATTCTGTTATTATTATTATTTATATTATTATTAATATAATTAGTAGTAGCAGCAGCAGTAGTAGTAGCAGCAGCAGCAGTAGTAGCAGCAGCAGTAGTAGTAGCAGCAGCAGTAGTAGCACTGACGCTTCTAGTCTTATTATTTATTTTTATTTCAACTATTTTCTTCTTAAAAATGTTATTATTATTATTGTTATTATTATTATTGTTATTATTATTATTGTTGTTGTTATTATTACCAGGCAGCTTTCCTCTGAAAAATTGAAATAAATTTAATGTAGTTTAATATAGGCACATGAACACACATAAACACATACACAGATATACATACATACATACAAACATACATAAGTACATACAAAAATACAGAAATTAACAGAAGCGTAAAAAAACGTTCTATAAATAGAATAGCAAACTGAACTCATGAGGTGAGCAATTATTTGAAAAAACATTAAAGATAATAATAATAATAATAATAATAATAACAATTATTATTATTATTGTTGTTGTTGTTGACGACAATTTCAAAATTTAATTGCAGGGCAAAACTTAAACGTCAAAGAAATGCACTAGCTATAAGCAATAGTAACAGCGACAAAATTACAACAACAACTATAACAACAACAACTATAACAACAACAACAACAACAACAACAACAAC